GCGCCGGTCCACTGTCCTATATATGGCCAATGCTTCGTTGACCACCCGAATCGACTCTGATTGCTACGAAACTCAAACACAACGTGTAGTAAGTCATAAACAATCAATATACGCTATTTTGGACATTCAAAACATAACATATGTTTTCATATGCATTTTAAACCATTTACATGCATATTCTAATAGTTTAATTCATATAAACCTAATCACCTTTGCTAATCACATGCTTAAACTCTTTTAAACATTATTATGAACACATATAACATTTTTAGGTAATCTCATACTTAATCCAAGAGTTATAAGACAATAAGCCGTCAAAAGCTCACCTTAAATGAGTTTTAAGAAGTTCCACCCTCTTCGGTTGGCCTCAAGTGAAACTCCGTCGAACTTCAGTGGACTCATGTGATACCTCCGACAACTCCCTCAACTTTGAGAGAGTACTAGGAGCACCTTAGATGAGTCCCTAACAAGGTTTCATCATCCCAAAACCCATATCAATACAAATAATTAACCTCTAAAAGGTTGTTTTCGGGCGAATTAGTAACCTTTCTCTTCTACGTCCGTTCTTGGACTTAGTACTACCTTCCAATCTCTCATTATACACTTCTAAACATGTAGAACCAGTGGAGGACCTAGGGGGGCAGGTGCCCCGATTTCGACCCTGAAGTTTAAGGCTAGTACATAAAGATGAAAATTGTGCCCCCGCTACCCGGTCAAAAAACTAGAGATTATTTCATAAATATTACTGAAATAGAACTAATGGACATAAATATTACTATAGTTACTATGCATAGTCACTATATTGATAGATTGAACATAATCATGGTCACTAAAATTACCATTGTAGTTACCAAGTCTTATTGTTGTCCACTATCTTTATTTCAATCATATTGTCATTATTATAAAAAACTCTAAGTTATATAGGACTCCATCGAAGAACATTTATAGTAAGATATAGTAGTATAAATTATAAACAACCACGAAGTTGTGATGGAGCAAATCCTTATAGTTAGACATGTTGATATGGTTACTACACTTTCTTTGAAAAGTGGCATTGATGATTTCTTACTTGATGTAAATAATATTTGTCCAAAGTTAAAGGTCAAAGATATGACAAGTGTTCTAATATATAAGCTGAATTTAATAGACTGAAGACTCTTATCTTGAATAAAAGTCCATACATGAAAAAATGTGTCAATTCGCGATAAATTAGTTTCAAACCAACCGACTCTTTGAATTTTTTATCTATTAATATGATAAATGTTAGATATATAGAATCATAGTATTAACTAAAGTTGTGTATTAAAGGATGAAATCATAAACATGATTTATACTTCATTTTTAACACGACAGTATTATATTTCATATAAGTACCAACAAATTTTGTGGCACAATGTGCAACATTCGACATGATTCTAGTTCAGATATGAAATCTTCATCATTTTATAGTATGAAAAATAACGAGAATTCTTATGTAAAATCAGAAACGGCGCAAAGATGAATCATTTCTGATCCAAATTATATATTTCTTTCAAAAAGCCATATATATTGTTTAGAATTGTCGTAATAAGTTCAAAATTAGAATTATAATCCATATATGTTCATTGCTTGAAGTCGACATTGAATAATCTATTTCCAAATAAAAATAATAATCTGAATGCACTTGACAAAAAAGACAAATGATACACTTGATTCAACCCGACCTGACCCATTTCCATCTCTGGGGGAGTGCCGACCCCGCTTCAGAAAAGTTCTGGGTCCGCCATTGTGTAGAACAATCTTAGGGGTGCTTCATATGACTTACTTAGTCATATGAGTCTAATACTTGAAATGTTAATTATTCTACATTTAGTCTGCTTCTCACCAGTACAAGTGTACTGACCCCTTCAGGGGCCCTCACCATTTTCAGGTTGAAGCTAGAGTTTGCTACCTGCACCTTTGCACTGGTGAAGTACTCTCAAGGAAGACGTGGTTCGTGTTTCCTTTATTGATTCAAAAGTATAAATAATGCCCATGGATATTTGTATTTGAAATACTTTGTTTTGGGCTTGCGAGCCTGCTTTTGCCGTATGTGGCCCATGATCCGATACTGAATAATTCCGCTATTCATTTGATTCAAATGTGATGTTGTTATGTATGTTTACTTGCCGATTATTATATGAACTATGTTCATGGATGCCTTGTATAACCAAGTGAGGGTGACATGAGGTGACATCACTTGATAGTGCAGTAATTATTCACGCGCTTAGATGCGGTCTGGGGCTTAACACCGGTCATTACACGCGTTGAAAGATTGGTATTTGATTTTTTCAAAAATAAATATGACAATTCTTAATTGTTATTACTTTGATTTTAATAACATTTATTAATTATTATTATTATCATTATTGTTTTTGGATGAAATGTAAATACTTATTAAAAAATCCTCCGAAAGTAACACATACAATGTATCAAAAGAACCAAGAAAACAACATAAGATAACTAAACTAACCTAAATCAGTGCCTCCCTACCACCAAAAGGTAGGGGCAGGAAGAGAAGATTTTAAACGTCCAAAAACAAATTCGAAAAGTCTAAACTAGCACGGGACATGCCCGACTTAGTATCATAAACAGTCCAACCAAAGTAATCAATTGAAACAGCCTCATTAGCCCAACCCACCAGACAACATTACTAGTTCAGCTAGTTAAAGCCATACAATAGCCATCAGCGAATCGGAGGGACTTCAGCTAAGTTTGGATTCAACTTCTTCATTTAGCTCAAATAGCGACCACTTACAAAAGATACATTCTCCTGTCCTGAATACGGTCATTAGCTAAAGCTGAAAGTGAGTGTGCATGTGGTGCTTAAAAGGAATATAGATATTTCATCTGGATTGTGCAATGGTACCCGACTTTTGATACATGTGGGCAAAATGACTATGAAATGTTTCCTATTCCTACATACTCTAACACCATTAGATGTTAGGTTCCTTTTCACATTTACTAAAAGTTAGGGTCAGTCCTTGGAAAAAGTTGACATCCTCTCCCGTCACCCTTTTCTTACACATGAACATGTGTATGTGGACAAGACCTTGTTAAAAAGGATGGACAAGACGACCAATCACATCTGTCTTGAATATTATATACAAATAAGTTTATAATAATTTGTATCTTTTGTTGACATTTCCATGAGCTTACATGCCTATTTCATTGAATGATGTTTTATTAATTTACTTTTTGATTAATACCACTTATTTGTCAATTTGCTATTAAAATGATATCTTATTTAAAATTCTATTTAATGCTTTCAGTTTATTGGATCATTATCAAGTTATTTTTACTCTATATAATTGTTTTTTTACCTGGAAGGCAAACCACCAAAATCAATGAAGCCAAATAAAACATCGTAAAGAGGAAAGAGGAGTACAAAAAGGAGGGGACCAAACGAAGAGTACTCATTTTTGTAATAAGGTTACAACAAGTACAAAAAACCGTTTGATTTAATTTTACAAAAGACATCGTAATTAATGTCTATAATTAAACATTTTCTTTATAAAATATTTTCCCACCCAAACCTGGCCTTCCCCTAATAAAATACTTCCTATATTTTAAATATTCTTTTCATACTCTAGCACATTCAACCAATTCAACCCCTTCACCCAACACTTCATCGATTTCAGTAGATTCAACGAATTCAATGAATATTTTTGTTACCACACATGCTCTAATTTATCTGATAACCAAATCTCAAAATAGAAGATTGTTTGTGTTTTAAATTGTGTATCAAGTATCTTTTTAGTACTAGATCATAAATTAACGAATTGATTGCTTCCTATTTACACATTTTAAGTGTCACATAAGTTTTTCATGTAGTTTAAGATGATCGTTCAGATTTAGGGAAAATGGTCAGATAGACCATCGAACTTACATAAAAAGGTCACATAAGCCCTTATATAGGAAGCTCTTTCCGGTCATCGCCATTTGGGGTAGTTTTCGATGGAATTTTTTGAAGATAACTGCGCAGTTAAACAGCGTAGTATATTTCAGAAAATCATTTGACTGCCTTTCCAGTTGAATATTTAGCTGAAATTTGGTATGAGTAAACTAGACTTAATGAATACGCTGCTAAAAAAAATCATCAAAAAATTCCACCAGGAAACGCCTCAAATGGCGACGGCCGGACAGAGCTTCCTATATAAGGGCTTATTTGATCTTTTTATGTAAGTTCGAGGGCCTATTTGACCCATTTCCCTTAGATTTACTATACATTTACAACAACAAAATTAAGGTTTTTTATATTATAAAGCATTTTATACTTCATTAAAGTTACTATAGCTATTTTCGAAGGGTAAATTTCTTTCTAAAAATGTGAATGTGACTATTAATTTAATTCAATCAAAAGAGGATACGAGATAGTTTTAGTGATACCACAAAGAGTATATTTTTTATGCAACGATTTTTCATATAATTTTTATTATTTTATGTGAGAGCCTGTTTGAAAAACATGTCCTTTAAACACTAATGTGATTCAAAGCTTAATACATCATAATCGACTTCAAACACAAAAATATCGGGAAAAATAATTTAAATACTCCAAACTTTATTGAAGTGTGAGATAAGTATCCCAAACTTGCATATAATATATTATACCCCGAACTTTATATAAAAAATTTCACACCATTATTGTCTGTTTTTTACAAATACAAATAAAATTTATTGGTATAATTATTCAATTTAAAATACTCTAATCTTTGTTAGAATGCAGTTAACATTCTAAAATTTTATTTGTGAAATAAATAATATTACATCCGGTTAAATTTAAATCTAATTGCATCCTCATAAATGTTTTGTGTATTTTAAGTTATGTATTTAACACAATAAAATTACATTTGTTAAAAATACATGATCATGATACTAAAATAACTTTTTATATAAAATTTGAGGTACATATATTACATGTGCAAGTTTGAGATACTTATCTCACACTCATTTAAAGTTTGAAATATTTAAATTATTTTTTGCAGAGATATATGACATTTTATTGTATAATTCACAACTACTATTTTGATAAGAAAATCAAAATCAAAATCAATTCCAGAAGTACAGAATAACGGAGACATGTTGTTTTTCTGGAATACAAATGAATTAAAATTTCATAAATGTGACTATAGTTATAATAATCATGATCATTACAACATAAAATTAAATAAAACAAATATTGTTATAACTAAATGTTACATATTTTTTATAAAAAATCTTTATTTTAGTCATATATTTCGTAATTCGTACTTAGTACTTACTATAAGTAATTATTTGGGATTTTATTTCAAAGTTTGTTATGCGTCCAAGTAGAACTTTCTAATATCACAAGGTCTTCAGCAGCTGCGCGTCCAAATATTTTACTTCCCTCGAAAATGAAAATAATTCATGTGGCAACGACTTACTACCCACATTCATACTGCCTTTCTCCGTGTACGCACTACACACTAACTGACTTTGCTTCCGATATCTGTGCAAGAAGCCAAATCGAGTGTCTCGTGATCTCGTCCGTGACTCCATCTTTTCAATGTTCTTTCTCCGCAGTTTATGTATATTTTATGTTTATATGCTTATATATGAGTCTACAAAAACATCTAAGACTATGATTTTCGTCCCCAGAGAGGAGCAATTCAATCTTGCCTTAAAATCAAGTTTTTGTCCTGTTTCAGTTTCACCCATTGCTTTGATACTTGCATTGAAACTTCCCCTGATCTTGACCTTGCCGGTGCTTATTGCAAATGTTTTAAAATTCAATTCTTGATGTTCAACGGGACAGGCCTAATCATCCTTGATTTTTAAGAAACTGGTGTTGCTTTCATCAGTTATTGATTGCTACACATTGGGCCATTGTGGGGCTGGTCTTGCCTTGTGAAAATGAGTTATTTTGTTGGTACTTAATAATTTTCTTTTCCCACTTTTGGTCTTATTGTTGCTGAAAGATAAGATCTTTTTTCATTATTGGTTGTATATAATAAGATGTAGGGATGGTTTACCCCTGCTGTATAGAAAAGATTCTTTCTTTGAAAGTTTTAGTGCAATAAAATATTTTCTTGAGGTACATACTGTTCAGATTTCTTTTCTTCCTTCCTTTTGTATTGAAAGATTGGAGAAGTAGTTAGCTTTACAAAGAATTAAGATGAGGTGGTTATTGGTGTTGGGAGTGGTTGTTTTTTCAGTCATGTGTGGATTTGTTATGAGCAAAGAATGTACTAACACTCCTTCAAAGCTGTCATCACACACTGTGAGATATGAGTTGTTCTCATCAAAGAATGAAACATGGAGAGAAGAAATGTTTAGTCACTACCACTTGACCCCAACAGATGATTCTGCTTGGTCTAGCTTGCTTCCAAGGAAGGTGCTGAAGGAGGGAGATAGTTTTGATTGGATGATGATGTATAAGAAGATAAAGAGTTATGGGGGTGGAGCTGGTGGGGGGTTTCTTAATGAGATTTCACTTCATGATGTGAGGCTTCACCCCAACTCAGTGCATGGAAGGGCTCAACAGACAAACTTGGAGTACTTGCTGATGCTGGATGTTGATAGGCTGGTATGGAGCTTCAGGAAGACAGCTGGTTTGGATACTCCTGGGGAGACTTATGGAGGGTGGGAGGATTCTACTGTGGAGCTGCGGGGTCATTTTGTAGGTTAGTCATCTTCTTTTTCTGCATCTTTTTTTATTGAAGTGAAATATAGAGATTTCTTTTGCAATCATGGCCTCTGATTGGTTTCTTCTTTCTTTTACATCATCAATGTCTTTGCAAAAGTTACTTTTTCTTTAATCATCTATTCATCTATATTGCATGCTCCGTATCATTCGGATTCCTGTTTTATATTTTTAGAAAAATCAATACACTGTTATGATTTATGAAACTAGAAACATTGGACTTTCAGTGTCTTGCTAACTGTTTTCAAAATTGCCATGATTAATATACGCTTGACTGCTTTTAAGTTAATTATATGACCTGCATTATATAACTTTTGAATCATAAAAAAATGCAGTGAGCGAGCCAAATTTATAGTTTTTTCTTTTCTTTTGTTTTGTTTTGTTTTTTGGTTGATTCTTTTGTTACCGCTTTGTAACTTTCTGTAAAGTTTGCTCCTTCCAAGTCTCTAGGAATCACATTACTAGAAATAAAGGTTTTCAAGTTTACACAACACAGGAAATATTTTATTTGTATTCAGCACTGTAGTTCTGTATTTTCCAGGTAAAGTTTATGTAAATAGAAGTAAAACAGGAATTAGGTGCACAAATATGACTATCCTTATTTTCTACTAAAAATAAGACGAATTCATTCTTAATAAAAGAATAAAGGCGATTAATAGTTCTTTTTTCAGGATTTGTCAGAGTCATATATTTGGGAAAAACAATGATGTTATTATTTTCACAAATATGTTAACGTTTTAGTTTTATTTATGAGATTTTCTCTATTCTGACTGTATATTTGAATTAAGTGAAGGAATGTTTTTCAGTGTCTGATGATATTTGATGTTTCCATACTGAAGGGCATTACCTTAGTGCATCAGCACAACTGTGGGCAAGTACACACAATGCCACTCTCAAAAATCAGATGTCTGCTGTTGTTACTGCACTATCTACCTGTCAAAATAAAATCGGATCAGGTTACTTATCTGCTTTTCCATCCGAATTGTTTGACCGTTTTGAAGCTATAAAACCTGTATGGGCACCGTACTATACTATTCACAAGGTATAATATTATGCATCACCCCCTTCGATACATATTTGTTTGAGAAGTATTAACCATTTTTCTTGAAATGACATTAATAACCTCAGTTTATGGGACTTTTATTTGCAGATTTTGGCTGGTCTCTTGGATCAGTACATTTTTGCTAGTAATTCTCAAGCTTTGAACATGACAAAATGGATGGTTGATTACTTTTATGATCGTGTACAAAACGTGATCTCAAGATATACGATTGAAAGGCACTGGCTATCTTTAAATGAAGAAACGGGTGGAATGAACGATGTTCTTTATAGGCTGTACAGCATTACGGTGTGTATATCTTTCCTGTTAAGCTTCTAGTTCTCAATGGAGTGTTCTCTTGAATTGTATTGCAACTGTTCCTCTTTTGAACACCAAATTCTGTTTTCTAGCATCAATCATGTCATGGATGTTGTAGCATACTAATTTGCTTGTCACTATTCAAAGTGAACCTTCAAAACACAATTTTACCCCGTTTAAGTAATCTCACACCGATCAAATATGATATACAAACTCACATATAAGCTTTTAACCCTTTTAAATGAGTAACCCATTCAGACTAAAACTACAAAAATGCACACGTATTAAAAGATTGGTTAGATCCATCGAGCAAACATCTTTCACGGGAATGTTAAGTCGTCTCATGCAGTCTATACATTCTCACTTACAAGGTATTGGACTATGCTTCTTATCAGGCTGACCTTTCAAGATGAAAGGTCAAGTCTTAATACATCCATGCTGGTAGAGCTTAGAGGTTTAATCTGCTGGGGGTAGTTATTTATTCTTAAATCTTAACGCATCTTGCTTTTGCATAACATGCAGGCTGATCCAAAACACTTAATGTTGGCTCACCTTTTTGACAAACCATGTTTTCTGGGGTTACTAGCAATAAAGGTAGCCATCACATCTTTCTCCAAATTCAACTCCAATAGCTAATACCGTATGTTTCTTTTGTATATCTCTTTTCAGCCTGTTTATTTGTTGACTTTAGGCTGATAGCTTATCGGGGTTTCATGCAAACACGCATATCCCAGTTGTGATTGGATCTCAAATGCGTTATGAAATAACCGGTGATCCAATTTATAAGGTAATCATACAGATATTTCTAGACTATATACTATGTATGATTTTTTCTCTTAGAGATTGAATTGCAGCCAAGTAATTTTGTGCCAAACCCCTGAACCTTTAAAAAAATCAACTGAATACATCTTTATAGAATTATGGTATTATTTATCTTTTCTTTTGAGTATAGAAAAAACATTCTATCTTAATTCTAAACTTGAATCACTCTATTTTTTGCAAGGAAATCGGGACGTATTTTATGGAGATAGTCAATAGTTCACATGCTTATGCCACCGGGGGGACATCAGTCGGTGAGCTGTGGTATGAAGAGTGACACTTTAAAATATAATTATTTGAAAAGTTATAAGTTTGGTCCATATCTAACTTTGCTTGTTCATCAGGTCTGATCCGAAGAGATTGGCAAGCACGCTCAAGACTGAGAATGAAGAATCGTGTACAACCTATAACATGCTGAAGGTTCATATGATCATATCTCATGGATTATAAACTTTGTATTACATGTGTATTGTGACAACGAAAATGGAGTGGTCTTTTTGCAGGTGTCTAGACACCTGTTCAGATGGACGAAAGAGATGGCTTATGCTGATTATTATGAGAGGGCGTTAACAAATGGGGTTCTTAGCATTCAGAGAGGAACAGAGCCTGGAGTAATGATTTATATGTTGCCCCTACAACCCGGTGGTTCCAAGGCCAAAAGTTACCATGGTTGGGGTACCAAATTTGATTCTTTCTGGTGTTGCTATGGGACAGGTAACTTAAGTAAATTTTCTTCTACTTTTTTTCTGGCAAAATAAAATAAAGAGTACATTTTTTCATGCTCAAGGATCATGAAAGTGCAAAAAATATGATCCAACCCAATTACCTTTCTTCATACTTTTTATTAAGACATAATAATAAAGAGAAGTGAATCATCAATTTAGATTTATACACTTTAGCTTAGAGTAATTATGTATTGGCTCTTAAACGTTTTGAATCTATTATTAGACAAATTGGGTCAAATATTTATTTAGAATGTGATCCAACCGAATGAACACTGTTCATACAAAAGATAAGACTTAATAATGACTGAATCATCAATTTCACCTTTAAGTCTGTTTATGACTCACCTTCTTCACTCTATGTTATTTTTACCCAAGGAATTGAATCATTTTCCAAGTTGGGGGATTCTATATACTTTGAAGAGCAAGGAAAAGTTCCAGGACTCTACATCATCCAGTACATACCTAGCTCCATTGATTGGAAATCTGGTCACATTATGCTTAACCAGATCATAGATCCAGTTAGTTCACAGGATAATCGTCTGTGTGTAACCATAACCGTAACAATGCAGCAGGTATCTCCTTAACTTTATTACAGAGTACAACTGTACAAGACATGAATGAACAAATAATAATTCTATACAATACAAACTATAATCTTTTTTTAGTGCCTTGATGTTTATAATGTTATATTTTTCATTTATATTTCTTGAACTTAATGATATGATTACACTAATGTTGATATATTTCTTTTTTTGGAACTTATTTTCTTTATTCTTGTGCATGTCTCCTTAAAAGTTATCTAGTCTACCATCTACATTAAATTTGAGGATACCAACATGGACATACGCAAGCAGTGCAAAAGCATTGCTTAATGGACAAGCTCTATCTCTTCCACCACCAGGTAATGAATAAACGCTTTTCTGCTATGGATATGATTCTTTCTTTGATGTGTTTTATACTACTTTTATTATAGGAAAAATAAATACTCTCTAGTCCTTAAATAATTGCCCAATTTGAATGTCCATCAAGTTTTAAGGAAGTGAAAATGGTGGAGTAAATATTTACTTAGCAGGGAGAGAGATATTGTGAGCCACATATTGCTTTCCTTAAAGAAAATGGGCAACCATTCTTGGACAAATGAAAGATGAAAGTTCATAGATTATTAAGGCACACAAGGGGGAGTACATCTTGTGGTGGAATAATTTCTTACAGTTATTTATATGTTTCATGCAGGCAACTTCCTATCGATTACCAGAAGTTGGACCTCTAATGACAAAATTACCCTTGAGCTACCTATGAGTCTTAGAACTGAGGCCATTAAAGGTACCACCTGTGGTTGCATAACAAAAGTATTGTGAAGTTGGTGTTTGTGGAAAGCCCTATTATTAAGAGATCATATAATTCTTTACTTTATGTGGTGATACTTCTTCTTGTTCTTTAGATGATCGGCCAGAATATGCTTCTATTCAGGCAGTCCTTTATGGTCCATACCTACTAGCTGGTCTTTCCAGTGGTGATTGGGACATTAAAGCTACATCACCATCAGTTTCTCCTTCAACATGGATATACCCCATCCCAACTGACAATTCTGTTCTGGTCTCTCTAACCCAAGAATCCGGGAACGACTCTTTCATCGTAACAAACTCAAACCAGACCATTAATATGAAACCATACCCCAAATCCGGAACAGATTCTGCAGCAAGAGCTACATTTAGGCTCTTTTCAAAAGTCACGTCTAACAAGAAGCTTTCATTACCAATAGATCTCATAGGGAGAGTCGTCAGGCTAGAGGCATTCGACTGTCCAGGAATGGTAGTGAAACAAGGGGAAGAGAAAAGCTTGGTAGTTGAGAATTATTCCTCATCGGACGAAAGCGCCACCACTTCTGACTTTCTTTTAACTGAGGGATTAGATGGGAAAAACGGGACGGTGTCATTGGAGTCCGTATCCCAGAAAGGTTGTTATTTTTATAGTGGTGCCGATTATGGGCTCGGTTTAGGTGTCAAGCTGAGGTGCATGGATGAGTCCTCACCAGATGCTGGGTTTAAACATGCTTCAAGCTTTAAACTGGAAACTGGGATGAGTGAGTATCATCCCATCAGCTTTGTGGCCAAAGGAACAAATAGAAATTTCCTTTTGGTTCCATTACATAGTTTGAGGGATGAATCTTATACCGTTTACTTTAACATCACCTTTTGAGGGATGGAAGAATGTTGCTCTTTGTCTGTGTATGAGAGCACGTACTCTATAATTTAATGTTCTATTATATATTGCACAAAAATGTGATTTAAAAACTTTTAGTAACTATTAACTAATGATGTATAAATTTTACATCAAAGTGACTATAAAAAGTGTACTCATAGGTAATTTTAGAACTTTTTGTTCACAAGTTTTATTTTAGTAACATTTTAGGAGTAACATCAGGAAAAAACTTCCATTAACTAATGTTGAGTTATATGACCAACCATTGAGATTAAAGTATTAAACTCCCAGGGTGGGTGTTAGTTGTTTGCCCAAGAGACACTCAGATAGGACACAACAAAATGTTATTCCATTAAAACATAGGACACTGACATTAATGTATAACATTGAGGTACATTATAATTATTGAAAGAATAAAGACTTAAGCTAACAACAACCTAGCTCCGTCAATAAATAAAAATTCCCACCAGTTTATATGTATTGACTCAATCAATTCAATTTTTTACTGCAATCCAGCATCGTCAATATATTCACCCAACAAAGTTCTTTTTTATAATTAAAATCTTACTTTTATCATTATACTTCAATTTTAAATACATAAATTTGGGATTTTTTTTTAAATCTTACTTCAGACCTATTTTAGAAAAAATAATTGAAAGATGCAAAAAAAATATTTTAATTGTGAATCTTATGTTTTAGCATTTCAATCCGTTGAAACTTTTTAAATTTTATAGATACAATATTGATGACATATGAAATGTAATAAAAAAAATCATAAATTGTGATATATTTTCTTGGGAAAACTGTCAAATATGTCCTCGAACTTTCATAAAATTGTCAAATAAGTCCTTATATAGGAGACTCTGTCCGGCCGTCGCGATTTGGAGCGGTTCCCGGTGGAATTTTTTGATGAAAATTTTTGAGCATCTTATTCATTAAGTCTAGTTTACTCATACCAAATTTCAGCTAAAATTTCAATCGAGAACGCATTCAAATTAATTCTTCGCAGTTATCTTCAAGAATTAATTTTCATACCAAAAATTTTCATAAAAAAATTCCACCGGGAACCGTCCCAAATCGCGACGGCCGGACAAAGCCTCTTATATAAGGACTTATTTGACAATTTTATGAAAGTTCGAGGACCTATTTGACATTTTCCCTTATTTTCTATAAAAATTAAAGTAAAATTAGTAAAGTTATTACACTTAAAGAATTGGGATTTAAACTTTACATGGGGTCACTACTTATTCCTTATGCGGCCAATCAGCTGCTATTGTTTTCTTCCGTTGTTGCAGCGTGCAGAGCAATAGGCAGAGTGATAAGCCTACCAAATTCCCAGCCTAGGGGTGCCATACACCCACTTGACACCCAAAATACATGGGGTGTAGTGATATTTGAGGTGAAAAGCTCAAAGTTGGCTTATTCACCACTGGAATGCAGGTAGTCTTACTTGCTAATATATGTCAATATACAAGGATATTTTATAGGAGAAAATATTTAGATATCTCAAGCTTTGAAGCGTTTTGAGGTAAATACTCTAAATTTGTACATTTAATGTATATACTTCAACCTTTATATTAAGAATTATGTGAGTACGATGATCATATATTTTTTCATAAATGTATTTAAATGTTGTCAAAGTACATAATTTAAAATATAAAAGCACTTATGAGTACACAATTAAAATTAGATTTCATTGGACTTTTAGAATGTTAACTGCACCCAAACAAAGCGTAGAGTATTTTAAATCATGTACTTATTGAAATAAATTTATATCATGGTGTAAATATATATTTTTTAATATAAAATTTGGGATATATATTACATATGCAAGTTTGGAGTATTTTTCTCACGCCCCTTTAAAATTTGGGATATTTATTTTACTTTCACCTACTTTGTATGCTTAAAAATTATTTTTGTGAAAGAATATTTATCGCTAATGTGTTTACTTTAAAGTGATATACCCCGTATTATAGAATATTAAGATAAAAATCCTATTACTAGATGATTCCACAAATGTGATACAAATAATTGAAGCACAGTGAAGTATTGGATCCAATGATATGAACACAATGTTATTTTTATATTCTGATTTTTCATTTACAATTTTGATTTTGAGTTAATAGGTAGCACAAGATACACAAGCATTTTTTGTGTGGACACATGTATCTTATTTTATTAGATAAATTTGACATGAACAAGAAACATATTACTCCTACCGCCCCTAATTGTTCTTCCGTAGTACAAATGACACACAAATTAAGATATTGGATATTGTGTGGTGAAAATTTTTGCCGATGAAAGAGAAACGTGTAAGATATTTATAAACCACAAATTCTTTATCAGAAAAGGAAAATAGAAGTTTTATTGGGACGATCGAAAAAGAAAAGTTTTAAGTTTTTCTAAACTTGACACAGAGAGAAGATACTTAAAACGTGTGAAATCAAGCATGTGCATAAAATAGCTAATAATGTTTTTTTGATAACTGTATCACACAAAAATATACTCCCTCCGTCCTTCTGTTATTGTCTCATTTTCTATTCACTTGATCAACACAAATCACTCTTAATCTCTTACTTTATGTATCAAATTTGATTCTGATTTTTGCGACTTTGTAAAGCTTTTAATGCAGTTTCTGAATATGTATTTTTTTCTAAAAATAATTTGAATGCGAAAAGAGATCCATTTGCTTTATTGTCGGTCAAACATCGTAAACCGCAATGGGACAATAACAAACGGAGGTAGTAGTAAAAAAGGGATCGTTAGATAACTCAACAAATATCGAAACAAAAGTAGATTTTATTACAACAAAATCAACCAATCAAGTTACTATATAACGAAAAGTTGACTAATATAGCTTCTAAACTATAAAAAGAATGCATTTAATGGTTTTTTATGCTTCTTGTTTAAGAGCGAATCGTAATCAGTTTTCAAAAGTTAGTCTACCCATCTTCTAAAAAACTGCTCTTAGGAGTAATTGGAGCACCCACAAATACTTCTGCACTTTCACCCAAACACTCCAATATCTATTTCTACTCATAATTTCATAAAGAGTAGATTCAGTTTTAAAAAGTAAATCCAAATAGCCCCTTAATAGTTAAATCCCGCCCTGACTTTCAAATTCGGGTTAGAATCAAAGTAATGAACTACTCCGTATATATTTACCTGAATTTTAATTTGGTAGAAAATTTCAAGGTGACACCCACACTGTATTGTCCATCTAAACCTTATAAGTTCAGTGTAAGCTGATACTGGATTTTCTTATATTTGACTTCATTATATCAATGCTACAGTACTTTCAGCTCAGTTTCTCGACACTCAGCTACAAAAAGCACAAACAGCATAGCAGCATTGTGCAATGGTAAGTTTTCCAAATAAATAAGCCGACAACATCTATAAGAAACTAGTGCCTAGTGCCTACTACCTGTCCACCATAAATTGGACGGGAAAAAAACTTCATAAAAGAAGCAGACGTAAAAACCTAAGAATAATGTTTAAAGGCTTTTTTGCTATACAATTTTGTTTAAGTGCTCTTGCAAGAGTAGTACATGTTTGTGTGTGGGTGGGAGGGGGTTACCTGAACCTAGGACGCTTTGGTGGGCCAGCACTACTGCTGGGCCCTCCCCCCCTTGACTTGCCAAACGTCTTTTTCCTTCGTCGCCTCTCATCCTCACTGTCTGATTCATCACCTTTCTCCCTATCTGCATAGCTTGCTTCCTTCTCCAACTCATCCCATGTTTTCCCTTTATCTTCCTCTGACTCCACCATCTCATCGTCTACATCGTCGTCAGACTCCACTAAAGATGCGCTTGACTCCTCAGCCTCAGAATCTGATTCAGGTTCATTATCTGTAGGCTCGAACTCTGCATCCGAATCCTCAGAATTGTCAGTTTCAGAGTCACTGCCCTCCAAGTTCAAGAATTCCCAGCCGCCTTCATCAATGAATCTCTGTGGATCATCTATGATTGTTTTCAATATAGGGCGCCAGTTCAGGTTAAGCTTGCTCTCGTAGTACTTGATGTCGGTTGTGTCAAGCCACTCTTTGATTCCGTCAAGTGAGGATATAGGAATTGAATCTATACGCATTACATCACGCTTGAAGTCCTTGAAAACAATTGCCATGTCGAAGTTTTTCTGTCCAAAACCCGCCCTCTCCAAGTTGACAATCTCTATCTCACCAAGGGTAATAACCAGGAATGGTGTCTCTATCAGCTCAACCAAACAGCTTGACGTCGGAACTATGAAGGCTGATGATTTGTAGGGAACTCCATGAAACCCAAGCTCTCTCAGCGGTTGATCGAATTCCAGGTCGAGACCCTTGAACTGGGGTTGGGTCCAAATATCATTTACTCGGTTCACGAAGTTCTGGAAATCCATGTTAATTTTGTTCTTCCGGTCCCTCTCCCTCTGTTCTTCTTCAATCTCGTCTGGGTCATACGCAGACCTCTTTCCACCGCCAAGGGTTTGGACGACATCCATCACCTCGACATAGAACTGCACGTCTTTAGTTTTCTTGTTCCCCACCATTATGTGGTTGTGGAGATGAAAATGAAGAAGTGTGATCATTTCTTTCTCTGCTGGCTGAAAAAAGGCATGCTTCACATTTCCATACATTATATCAACGCGTTCATCCTGTCTCGTGGTCGAATATCGGAAACCATTCACATGGGCTTCCAGGGTGCCGGGGAGCTTTCTAGCACGACCACCAAAAACGGGACGGATCCACAAATCAGGCAACCTGACCGGCTTAAATTTATTTCCAGCCACTACAAGTTTCTCTTGAGTGACCAGTGTGGCTCTCTCAGCTCTTTCGGACTCCCTCGCCATAACATTACGTCTAAGTGTTTTAATCTGCTGGTTCACTTCATTTATATGCCGCGAATCCTTAGAACGATAAGAAACCTCTTTCAGATAAATAGCCGATTGGTTCTTGGACACATTCGCATCACTTGATGCAAAAGGCATGCCTGGAACATTGAAGATGATTCTAATGTAAGAGTTGCGGTTACTGTCATACTGACTGGTCACTGTCTTTACAGTAGAGATGTGGAAAGGCACCATGCTTCCATATATAGGTAGAAGGAGAGATTCATTCTTCTGGTCAACCTGAACCATCATCTCTTTAGGAGTTGGTGGTAGATCATTGACATTCTTGTAGGCTACAAGTTCACTTGAAGC